GTAAGAGCAGCTTTGTGGAGCTGGGGTAAGAATGAAGGGATTGGTATAATTATCATTATTTTGTGTTATCATTATTTTGACATAACAATATCTATGAATTTTCTTCAGTTTTCTGCTCCATTAATAAATACAATTTCTAAGTAAATCTGGCATGAGCCAAGTGCTCTGGTCTTAGGAAGACAATGAGCAGATAAACAGGACAAACAACAAACCACAGGGATCCCATTGCTTCACAGTTTGGGCTGAGAATCTCTGAACCATTCAAACTGGAAGACACTGAGAGGATTTCAGTCCATTCTTCCAAATTACTTCCTTATGGTCTTTTCCTTCAAATTTTCAAGCAAGTGCTTTCATGCTGCATCCATGTGAAGGAATTTCCTGCAGCTGGCATTAGTTGTACCTCACTAGGAAGCTGGGAGGAGACTTTTGGTGAAGCACTAGAGGTTTGACAGTGCACCAAATTTAGCCCTGGAATATATATACTTTTTTTCTGAAGCCAGTGCCAATTCAAAACTTTTGGCAAAATATGAACTTTATAAGCCAAATTTTCAGGATTCCTTCCTTTCTGCTGGATTTATGTGCATATTGTGAAAAAAATATGGAAAAGCATTGTGAGGTCATGATATGAGTTTGTGTCTTATTACAAGAGAATGATCCCATTGTAAAACCAACTCATCCTACAGGGGTGAGAAAGAACAAAATTTTGGAAGACAGAATTACATTTTCTAAGTGTCAGTACTCATCTACCTTCACTCCTCTATTTTCTTGTTTAAGGTCTTTTAAGTTAATAAAACCTGTAGATTCTGAAAGCAATATTGAGGAGAGGAAAGTGAGATGAGAGTATCTTGCAGAGTAACCTTTTAAAAAAAAAAAATCATGCAACCATACTGTAGATAATTATTGCTTTCCTTTGAACAGAATTTTTTTTTCTACAATGATCAGGACTTCATAAAACAGTAATCTCTTTTGTTTCCAGTTCCATGTTTGTATAGAATAAATGGTGAATGCTGGAGGAGAATATGGAAAAGGGTGTGAGTTTGGTGGAGAAAAGTTTATTATCTGTGACCTGTTCCACTTCTCAAACAAACTCAAGTCCATAAAAATTACACATTTCTTCTGGGTATTCACAGGTAGCCACCATTTTGGAAAGATTATCATGTTTTTCATTAATTTAGTTACCGTCATCAGATTTTCTTTAGTCATTAAAAGGTTCAGTCATCTCTCTTTTACACAAGGAATTTTTAATGCAAAATATTTAGTAACTCTCGAAGAGAGCCCTGAACACTGGCTGCAATCAGTCCCATCACTGTTCCCTAGTGGAGTCTCTCTTAGCACAGGGACTGGGTTTTCTGTCCTCATTTCCAGTAGTTCAGGCAAGATCTAGTTCATTAGAGGGTCATTTATGTTTTACTTATTCATAAAGGAAGAGCTGAGGCATCATCTTAGACAAAATAAAAAAAGGAATTTTTTTAGAAAATACAGGGTCTATCATGCCCAATATGACTTGAGTTTTGTTGTTTGCTTTCTATTTGTAGGGAGACATCCCTAAAGACTATTACTGAGTGATTATCTCTTTGTGTTACGCCAATACTGTAATAAAAGCCCATTTACTGATGCTTATTCTTGAATTGAGACTCCAGTGACTTTTCTTTATGGATCTTTTTTCTGTTCTGACACAAACTTTGTATTCATATTAGCAATAAAAGGAGAGAATACCTTGAAGAACCACAGCATCTGAGCAGCCATTAATTAATTTTGAGACTTGTCTACAGAAAATTTAATTCTCTAGAACATAAACAAGTAAGAACAAAATCCATGTGCACAACTTTCCCATTGTACAGAAGGATTAACGGGTTATTAATGGACATCTGAAGTTGTGAGAAACATCCTCGAGCACACAGCAAGCCATTTCAAGCACTGCGGTAAGTGTGGAATTGAAAGTGAAGAAAGTGCAGTGTGGACAAAAGCACTCCTAGTGCTTGTGTTCAGATGTAGGAGGGATGATTTCTCATAATCTTTATTGAATTGGAGTTGCAGAAGCAGCAGCATGCACTGACCTTGTCAGAGGCTGCGTGTGTGTGAACGCGGCCAGTGGATGCAGTGACGCTGCTCCCGACCCTGCCCTTGCACACACAGACACCATGATGTTTGCACATACTCAGCTCTTTGGTTTCCTTTCCACTAGCCATAATTAACATTTATTCAAGCAACATTAGGAAGAACATAAATATTTCAAAGAAGCTAATTACAGCATCCAAAACATCCTCCAAGCTATTCGTTTAATGAGGATGTGTTTTGTTCCTGCAATAGTGTAACATTAATTTCATCAAGCTATTAAACAAAACAAAACCAGATACAATAGAGAAAGACATATTTTTTTCTCCTGTTTACAAGAATGCTTACTTGAATTTCAGTGAGTTCCTTGAATAAAGATGGCTGTCATAAACCATGCAAGCTTCCTATAAACTCAGATTCAAGCTTGGCGAACTTGCTCTGTCAAAATTTGCACCAATTTCAGTAGAAATATTATCTTGGTATAATATATAGTCTGACCTTAGTGCAAATATACATTTTTGTTAGAAGTTATATCTTTTTTTCTAGTATATTACAAGGAGGATTATAACTATGCCCAAATCAGATTACCTTACTCATGTATCAGGAAATGCAAAACTACCCTGATGCTCTTAGCAAAAAGGCATAGTCAAAAATTAAATGGAGTCCATACTGGGCTGGAAGTACTGGAGGAGGGAAGCCTGTAGGATTCAGACACTGTAACTCATGGCACAGACAGGATTGAATGTGTAATGGCTACTGCTTTTGCCCATTAGCAGGAGTCTGCTGAAAATAAAATTCACATTTCAGATGAAGGATTTTCAAGCAATACGAATCCAAGCAAGAGAGAATTTTTTTTAAAATAGTAAATGGAAGACCAGAAATTTTCTACCTGAAAATTTTTTCTCATAATCTTCAAAATCTGATATGTTTCTGTGCAAGTGGGCTCAGCAAAATTTTTCAGTTTGCAGTACTAAAACACACTGTCCAAAAATGCAGCTTCTGGGCTAATCAGAGCCCTTTCACCTGAAACTAAAGTTTAAGTCAAGATGTATATTTTTTTCAGTACTCTTAAAGCACTCTGAACCTTTCAACAGGTGCAGAATATTTACAGGTATCCAGTGCTCAAATCATAATAGACTGTAATTTATTTTATTTCACCATCTATTAAATATTTAACAAGACTGTAATAATTAAAATGCATAACAAATTAAATCTTTCCTTAGGCTAAAGCGTGGGACACTGATTCATGCAGTTGAACCAAGATAGATTAGGGAGATACCTTTCATCACTGATGACTCCCCATTTATGATAATTTCTTCAAATAAATGTGTTCTGCTTTTATTAATGAAAAATCAGAGCTAAATGCAATCCCTCAATTAAGACTGTTTAAAAATCCCTCTTTTAATTAGGCAGATATAAATAGGATCATACATACAAAATATAAGCTTCTTTAGTTTATATGCTGGTTTGATAACTGGCTCTTCATTGACATGAGAATTATTTCTGTCCCCAGACATATAAAGAAAAGCTTTGCTACTGAATCTGATAAAGAAGATGCTTCTATTACTAAAAGAACTCTACAGCATCTTAGCATTCTGCTTGGCAAAGCTTTTGCAAATTTGATGGCCTATCAAAGTGTCCAGGGTGGCAGAGCCCACTTTATTTCACATACATCTGATAGAGGTGAATGCAAAGAGCAAACACCAATGCTGTGGCTATAAATTAAACTTTTGCTTTGTTTCATAGTAAGAGCTACTGCTCTTGTGAGACAGATTTACTCCACCACATACTATTCAGCCCCCAGTCAAAACCCACTGAAATGGTGAAAAAGAACTGCAAGTTGTTTTGAAAATTGACAATCTCTACTACTGTGCTATTGTCGCATTCCTTAGGGAAAACGCAACCGAGAGAAAAAAATATGAGTGAACGTAAAAAGAAGGGGAAAAGAACATTAAGGCAGACTCTAAACTGGAATCTCCCACGGGAAACCATTTCTGTAGCATCAGAGCGGCACCTCATCTGTGCAGGATATTCCTGGAGCAAATGGGGAGAAAGCAGAGACAGACAGACATGTGCCACACTTCAAAGTCAGCCCTTGCTGCTGGGCTCGGTGTGAGGAGCGGGTCAGCACTGGCCTGAGCATCTTGCTCACTCTTGGCACTGGTGATCATCACTTGCTGGATCTGAGAGCAGGAGGAACGGCAGACTTTGGGCAGCCACTGGTAAGCCAGACCTTGCTGTGCTTCAGCTGGACTAAAGTGCCCAAGTGCCTTAACAGATCTGCAGTCTGTGTACTTTTGACTGTCATAGAATGTAGTTGCTTTCATTATCTACAGGCATAAATGCCAAGTGGGACTGAGGTCTGCAGCTCTGTTATAAGTGAAATACCTTGCTAAGCACAGTATTAGGATTTTAATTGCTAAATATTGTCCTATCGCAGAGTTCTGTTTCGTGGCGTGGGACTGCGCGTGTATTTAAGGCACAGGGAAAGTCTGGAGGCAGTCACACCTCTGCAGCCAGGGACTCCTCAGAAAATTCAGTGACCAGTCGGCGGGTGCCGAGGCAGAGGGGTGAGTGTCCATTTGTCCATCCCTAGAGCCACCGACGGCTTCTCCCACACGCCAGCTCGACGAGATTTCCTCCCACGTTCGGCTGGCTGGGAGCAGATCAGCCGGTGGCTCGGATTGCCCCGCTGAGAAACACGCCTCTCATCCCGGCATTCCTGTTGGGACAGTGTGCGAGCCCCGGGGCCGGGACAGTGTGCGAGTGGGACGGTGTGCGAGTGGGACGGTATGCGAGCCCCGGGGCCGGGACAGTGTGCGAGTGGGACGGTGTGCGAGTGGGACGGTATGCGAGCCCCGGGGCCGGGACAGTGTGCGAGTGGGACGGTGTGCGAGTGGGACAGTGTGCGAGTGGGACAGTGTGCGAGTCCCGGGGCAGGGACAGTGTGCGAGCCCCGCTCCTCGGCCGGCCCCGTCCCAGCGCTCGGAGCACCCGAGCGAGGGAGCGCTACTGCTGCTGCCGGGCTCCGGGGCACTAAAACACGGGGGGTTTTGTAAAGGACGGCGTTTAACACGGGGCCTGGAGCCTGGCCAGCGCCTCGCCTCCGTGCCTCGCAGGGACTCCCCCGCGCCGGGGCGGAGCGGCTGAGTCACCCGCGGAGCGGGGCTGCCCTCCCGAGCCGGGCTGCGGAGCCCCACGTGCCGGGGATTTAAAGAGTTGGGGCAGCGAGCGAGGGCATGCCCAGCAGAGCGGCTGGCAGAGCGGAGCTCGGCGGACATGGGACACCCGTGCCACCCTCAGCGCCCCGCGGGCACCCCCGAGCGCGGCCCGAGGAGGGCAGGGCACGGCGCGGGGCTGCCCGGGGCCCCGCTGCTCCTCCTCTTCGTCCTCATCGCCTCCTCCATTTCTGCTTGCAAAGGTGAGGCTGGTCCCGCTCGCAATCCCTGCCCGCTGTCGCGGAGCTGGGTGCCCGCAGCCGGCCAGCCTTGCGGGCACGGCTGGGCACGGCTGGGCACGGCTCCGGGGCTGGGGCTGGGGGGCTCCTCCCGTATCCCGGCAGGATGACTCTGTCCTGGCAAAACACTCCAGCAACTTGGGGAATAGGCTTTTGTTAAAAGATATTTCATTTTAAGTGTCGTTTACTCTGATTTTAAAAGGTAAGAAAAGACGTGAAACAACATGTGTCACAAAATTGCAGGGCAGATTAGGATCCTCTGGCAGTCATTCCAACCTGTAGCAGTATGTATTGGGTGAGGAATCCTGAATGTTGCTATTTTTGTAGCAGGGGGCTCTTGTGAAACATCTAGCGGACTGTTTAACAAACCAGTCACTCTTTTTGACTCTATATTCCTACCTCAGATAGATTAACTGCTTACACCTTGTAAAGTAACGTTACAAAATGATGTGCAAGGACCATTTCTGTTTTGTTTGCATTTTATTTGTGGGATTTGCTCTAGTTGGGAGGAGTCTTTTTCTGCTATGTTTTGTTTTTTCAGTATCAATAACCAAAGAAATCTAATGGCAGCATACTTAATATGTTAAAAATAAGTTCTGAGGATGTGCAAGAGAGGAGAGAAGGAAGAGGAGCACAATGGAGGGCCAGTGGCACACAGTATTTCATCACTGTTCTTTCACAAATGATTGCCAGGAGCTTGTTTAGGGATGCAATAGAGGGAAGAGAAGACGTAAGATGTGAGTCCCAAGCTGTGCATCTGGCATTCTACTGCCTTGAAAGAAGTTGTATTTCTTAAAGAGAGCAGAATTGAAGGAGAGCAAATATGCTGTGGACAACGTTGATTTTGTAGAATGGTTTCCACCTCCGCATTCCCTTTAAATAGTACTCTTTTCTTCAACAGCACATTTTCTTCAACAGCACATGCTTCTATCTCTCCCCCTCTCTCCCCCTCTCTCCCCCTCTCTCCCCCTCTCTCCCCTCTCTCTCCTCTCTCTCATCTCTCTCTTGCCTTCTTTTTTTTCCCCTTCCCCCTATGGTTATGGTGTATATTACAAAAAAACCTTACTGTTTCACTGTGTACGCTGTTGTGGAAATTAATGAAGTCCTGTAGGTACTGCAGCCCTGTTCTGGATGGGGTGATGAAGGAACACTCCTCAACCTTTGGAGGAACACAGTCCCAGGTGCACAAAACAGATGGGATTGCAGGTGAATGAAATGTTTCCGAATACGTAGAAAAGGGTAAAGGAAAGTGAGGGAAACAATTTATCTTCTCTGTCCAGAAGTTTATGGTACAGGCCAAAAATAAAGGAGAAAGTTATGATATTCAGGCTTTCCTGCTTGTTGCACTAATGCACGCAAATGAATTTCTTTAGGTCTCCCTGAAAAGCCTTGGGAACCAGTCAATGGCAGAAGCAGTGTTCAGAGATAGGCAGGCAATGCTTTGGTGGGGAAGGTGTTCTAATTTGAAATGTTGCCCTGTTCCACTCTTTTAACTAGGATACTAATGCCAGGTAACACTCCAGTTTGAATACAATAATTTAAGAGCAGAAGACAACATAAGACAACTGTAGCACCTTTAATTTATTTGCCATTTCTCTTTGAAATGAAACAAAAATTTGGAAATCAGTTTACTTGTAATGTGAACAATTCAAACAATTTTTTTAAAAATCCCACTTCTATATAGTGTGAAATTAAGAGCCCCTCTATGGATGCAAAGCAAGCATCCATAATAATTAGTCACCTTAAGTCAGTGCCAGTACAAAAATGTGGTTTTGAAATCCATCCTGTTCCATTAATGCCTGGAAATAACTACTGTTGTGATTATTGTTATTAGGGGCAAATGTAAAACAATTAATATGATGGCATTTATTCCCTGCTCACTGGACATTCTCTCTAGGTCTCGAGGTGCAGCACCAGTTTCCCTCCCATGGGAGTTACAGCACATCCCCTCACGGACACCATTGTGTGGTGTCTGACACACTCACAATTTGGGGATGCTCGTTTCTGCTATTGACAGAGACTCTAACAGTGCACTACTATCAGAAATACACTGCCAGGTAAAATAACAAAGGGGTAAGAGGGATATTCTGGAAGGGATGCTGGGACAGTGACTTCCGTGCCTGCAGCCTGAGTGGGTAGAGATAAAGAAAGGAGCTCCCCCAAGTTAAGCACAGCTTCACTGCATCGTTATGCAATTAAGAACACATTTAATCTACTGAGGGACAAGCTTTTCCACGTCACATATGCAAGACAGAGGAAACAAATCCAGTTACAGATGTACTGTCTATCACCTTGTCAAAACAACATGTTTGTATCACGGACACTATTTATATGCAACCACACATTACGTAGTGCATGTTCAATTCTGCAGCTGTAGCACGCAGGAAGGCAAGAAGTAGAGTCCAGATCCTCAACTCACAGTGCATGCACTGGAGGTGAGCAGAGCTCAGAAAACTCGAGGTGGTAGGAACTGGACTGTGATTTTCTGAGCAGGTCTCAGTGAGACCTAAGTAGCTTCCACACTGTTTGTTGTTCAGACATGTGAGTGTCGATATCTGCTGTGAACTTGTGATAAAGCATCCTGCTGTGTTGCTGAAAGAGAGCAGGGAAAATCTACCAGACAAACCACAGAGCACCCAGGGTCACAGACTTCCTTGGACCAAGCAGCTCTCCGCCTTTGCAGTTAATAGTTGTGCTAAATATGTCTGACATGGGACACTTACACAAATGACCTTTGCTGTACAGCATTGCTGAGCACAGTTTGTGCTTCCAGGTGCACCAATGCCATCCCAAGCACTCGAATCAGATGAGGATCTGCAGCTGTTGAAAGAGGTAAGCATCATCTGCCATGTGGTATTCTCCCATTTCTTCTGTGCCCATCCTTGCTACAGTCCCACCTCACTATCCAAGGTTTCTCTTGCACAGAGTTCAGCTGTGTTTTCTTCCAGTATGTCTTCCTGTATGTCTCCTATCCTGGCATCAGCAAAGAGGTGAAATATCCAATTTTCTGGGTATTCTGAACAGTTGCTTCAGAAGGATGTTGGGACTAAGTGCTGAGATGTCATTGTGAGAAGATATTGTTTTGTCTCAATGGAGAGCCATGTTTGAGAACTGTCAATGACCAGGCAGACACTGTCCCTGGGAGCATCACAGTGTTCCTCACATCTGGTAGATTTATAGTCTGTACATGATACTCAGGAATTGTTTCGACTTATCCTGTCTTGCTTCTTGCATCCTCTGCTCAGCACACAAGGCTGGGACACTGTTCAATCCTATCCTAGCCTCTCAATTTACTAGTCAAAGGACAGTGTACTGTGTCAATTAGCCCCTCTAACATGTGGCTGCTGATTGGTATCATAACTTCCGCCCTCATCTCTGAAATGAGCGTTTGTTTTGACTCTGGACTGTGACGCATGTGTTAGCACAGGCTCTTCCCTGCCCTTTGGGAACAGATGGAGTGGCAGGGCATGACATGTGGAGAGGGTTTATCCTGCAACTTGCATGCCCTGGTGTTGCTGCAACTGTCAACTATTGTGTTGACATTTAATTTAATAGCTTTTGATAACATTGGAAAATAAGTGACTCATCACAGGGGCAGATGCAGAGAGTAAATTTCTTCTGACTGAGACCATTACAGGAGACATTCTGCTTACTGTCATCTCCCCACAGTTCATATTGGACATAACTTGGGCATAGTGACTCAAAACCTAACCTATTCTAGACTGGCACCTGAATGAGCCCTAGGGATGTCGTTCACCTGGGAAAAAATGGTCTCTTGGGGAGTAAGAACCCAATAACTATAAGGAGTTTTTGAAAGTTAGTTATTTACATTCTGAATTTAAAAAGCTGTTTTATACGTTTCTGCATGTCTTGATAAGATTTGTTAGCTTTAAGATTTGTCCCTGTGGTGCCTGGAAACCAAGACAAAGGTCCTGTTGATTTCAATGAAGAAAACAGTATGCATAAGATACTAGATATTGTAAAGTTTTGCAATAGAAGCAATGTAAAAGCTACCATTAGAACTAGAATTATGCTGGACTGGAGAGTGTCTAAAGAAAGATAATTAGATATATATTTATATACCCTAAATCAACCTAGTTACTCACCCACACTAGGTCACTGAGGTTTCATAAAGTGCAAGTAAGTAATAATTCTTCCCTCTTTGCTACTTTACTAGTGGATCATTGAGAAAAAACCCTGCCTCTAAATAAACCTGGTATGTTCCAGGAATGGCTCTGAGTTTATAAATCTGAGAACTTTGTCACTAAGTATTTTGTTTCATTACTTGGCTCTTACTTCCTTTGTTTCTTTATGTTAATTAACCAACTTGCAATCTTCTACCCTCAGGCCACATTTCTGATACAGGAGAGAAAATTTTGGAGAAGTATAAATATAGAAACTATTAAATTTTTAAAAATGAATTAACAGAAATGGTAGCTTTTCCTCCATCCTTGCTTTGTCTGCAAAGGTTTTAGCTGAAAGATACAGTTGTGTTGAACAATTGCAAAGCAGTCTCTGGCTTGTTCTGCTACTGAACTATGTTAGTTCTTTGTGTCAAGTAAATAAACAAATAAAACCCAAGCACAAACAATCCCCAAGAGGAAACAGCCCTTTCTTTAACATAAGCTTCCAAAATTACTTCAGCTTGATTTTATCTCATTCATTGCTGACTTCTTCCTCTGTACTTTCTGACTCTGAAAGTAGTGAAGCTGAGCTAACGCACTCAAACACGTGTAAGATGAAGGAAAAAAAGAACAGAGAGGATGTGTTACTAACAAAACCTATTTGAAAAGGGAATCCTGTGAGCTATTAGTTTTTCCACTATATCTGCTAATGCTTTTTCATAGATTGTCTCTGGAGAAATGAATCATCTCTTGTTCTGAAGTGTTCAGATAAGCACTATTTTTTAGATTTCTTTTTTCCTTTAATGTTTTCTTTGCTAATGCATGTTGCTTAGGGCTTTTTCTCTATAAAAAATTTGCAAGAACAATTGCATTGCCTGCTCTATCAAAAAAAACCCCCAAACCACTATGTTTTTGAAAGCCTATAAACAACATGAGTGGCAAAAATATTTTTTCGTCTAACACTAACAAATATTACATGGAAAAAAATAGCATATACTGATTGAGATTACTAGGATACAACTTTGAAGTTACTTAATAAAATTGTAAATTGCTTTTTGCCATCATTATTAAACTGTGCAACTTCATTTGCAGTGCTGGAGACTTTTCCTTACAGAATACTCCAAGCTTTCAGCGCTGGTAATATTATTTCTCTGAACTCAAATACCTGTTATTCCATTTCTTATTCCTTCTCTATTAATAACTCCAGTAAAAATTAATCAGTTCTTTCATCTTGGAAAAGAGACAGAAGGAGGATGTAATTAATACAAGGTTACGAACCTTAGGGAGAGGATGGGCAGGAATCACTTGTTTGGTACTTCCAAGACCATGACAGCATGGAATGAAGACAGCTTTGAAAAGACTGGTGTAGACAAAGAGTAATGGTGCTTCACACAGTGTTGGGAAACTTCTGGCACAAATTGAGTGGTGTGCATAACATGTGCCAGCACATCTCATAATCACTCAAGAGATGCATGTGTCATACACCTGTAGGGATGCCATAATCCAATTGAAAGAGCTGTGTTTGAGGATTGAACCTTGAATGCCTTGCCTTAGTTTTGTTATTTTCTTCACAGTTTTGTATAGTTCAAAGATTTTGCAGAAGAGATTCAAGTTCATACTTCATGCCCCATATGCTTACAATTATAACTTAAAATATGACTTAGTCTGAGAAGTTTGCAGTTAGGAGGAGTATGTGCTGGGTACAGAATAAGAGTCACAGATACGTATGTTTGTTGAGATAATGCAAATATAAGTTTGTTGCTGTTGTTTTCTTTATTTTTTTTTAATATGGTTAAGGCCCTTTCCCCCTTTAAATGCAAGGTATTTAATGAATGGACCTATAAGGATGTCTTACAATAGGCAAGCTTGCCATGCCATTAGCTGCACTTACACTTACCTTTTTCTGAAAATATGCATGTTTCCCTTGTTTTTATTACTATGACTTCCTAAAAAACTGTGTGAACTCTTACAGATAGATGATGCATGTTCTGCTTACCTCTCCACAGATTCGCAGCCTCAGGTGAGTCAGACAGAGGTAACTCTACTATTTGGATACTGTTTGCTATATGTAGTAGAATTGGAAGTGTGATATCTGAGTTCCTGTTTTCTTTGCATTAGGTATCCAATACACTGGAAGAACTTTGTTTTTTGATCATGGGATTTCTCCAGAAACCACAGGTAACACACACAAAAGGCTGCTTAGCATTTTTGAAGCCTGATCTCTTACTGTGCCATTGTCTACAATGAATTCTGAGGACCTAGTATGCAAAGTGTCATTCAGCACTGGAAGTACTTCTATCAGTTTTTACTCTGAAATGCCATGTGCCAGAATGTAACACCTTGTAAAGACAACAGGGATACATCAACCTTTTGAAAATTATCTCCAGGTTGAGTACAAAGTGTTAGGTGTTTTTATTGCTCTAGACTAGAAAAACTATGAATTCTCAACAGACAAAGAAATTTACTTCAGAGAGTAAATCTCCTAAGTAAAGGAGATGAACAAGGGAACATCTGCTAAACACATCTAACTCTTCTAGGGCAGAGTAATCAATGCTCTCCACAGAGTTTGAAATGATTAGTTAGATTGATAAGCAAAGGCATGCAATACTTCTGCCAAGGAAGAAGGATATTTCAACCCAGTGCTGAAAAGATTATGTGTTTAATCAAAATTACCAATTGTTCTTTTTATTTTAATGAATAAAAGCCTTTCTACCAACTATTATTCCCACAGGATTTAGATGAGAAAGACAACACAAAAAGGGTAAGATGTCTATATATGTCCTACAATCACACTAAAAAAGGCAAGAAAATCTTAAAACTGTTGCCCTGCTTTGTAGTAAAACCCCCTTTCTTTTTTTTTTTTTTTTTTTGAACAGTTCTTATTTCATTATTCTAAGACTCATGACTCGGGCAACTCAGACATCATGGTAAGTGGCATAGCCCCTCCTTATGAGTGAGTACATGTGTGCTTGTATGCAAAACCAAGGCAATATTCCTTTTTGCAGTATAGCAAAAATGAATATTGCCAACTGTATAGCAAGCTCAGGACTGGGAGTTGCACGTTTACAGTACAAAAGGGGTTTTAATAATATGGGAGAGGATGATCAGTACTGTACAGTTGTGGAAAAAAAAATCTAACAAACTCACCTGAACATTCATGGAATCCAACTGAATCTTAATCTTGCAGTTTCAAATTTTAAGAATGAGAACAAATACTTTTTTTGGGTATTGGAACGTAGCACATGCAGTGATACAATGTGGACTTACAGGACCTGAGAACATGACCATAACTATTAGATACTCTTGAAAGCATTTTTATTAATTTTTAATTACACTGTATTAATTCATTTGCACATGTCATAAATATTTAGAATTAAAATAGTATTTAAGTCTCACTTGGACTTTGGATTATATTTTGAATGAAAAATATAGTTTAAACCATGACCAAGAATTGTTGCTCTAAAAGTATTCTCATAAACCAACAAGCCAAGTACATGATCCATTCTCACTTTTGAGATGCAAACATGCTCTGTTATCTGTGTGCATCTATGCACCACAGGATTTTGAGAGAGTTAAACATATTCATATTTTCTTGTTTCTTAACAATCATTCTTACATGCCAATGTCCATTTTTGCCTTGTTCTTTACATTTCTTCAGAAGCATGTGGTGTGTTTCCTAGAAAGTGACATTGCTCATATTGGTGTCAATGTTTTCATGCTACAGCAGCTTTGGAGGCTTTAAAGGCAATTAAGGCACAGTGAAATGAGCTATTTCTGCTGCTGCTCCTGCTTAAAATTTACTGCACTCCACTGCACTGTCCTGAATACCATTGCTGCTGCTCCCAGAGGTCACTGCTCTCTCACTTTTAGTTTAGCTGTTCAGATGACAATTTTCTAGCCATTCTCAGAGATACTTACTTAGGTGAGATCCATCATTCTCACCTTTATAAATTCTCTCCACTGGCTGCAAGACAGAGCCCAGGTGGACAGCTGGGATGTTCATTAACTACTTCAATCACAGCAGATTCCTACTTTTTTTAGGTATTATGATCCTATATTGCTTACCTTAGGCAGATAGCACAAAATTGGCTACAAATAAGCAAATTCATTTACTTATTAAGTAAATGAATTTGTTGGTAACTCTGGTTACTTCATATATTATAATTCTCTTAATTGCATTACTTTTCAAAGAAGTATTGTAGCAAAAATGCATTGTTTTTTAAATTACATTTATATGAGTGGAAGGTTTAAATTGGTTAATGGAACACAGGTTTTTTACACTTTAATTTTTCCTGTGGACCTCTCTCCAAAATCCCACATAGCTGTGTTTTTCCAGGGTGAGCACTTAGGCTGCACACAATGCCACTGTGCATAATTAGACTGTCTGCAAGCTAAAAGTGTTGTTGAACACAAGGAATTTCATGATCAGAGCTTAGATAGAGTGACCAGTGCCATGGTTACAAATGTCCCTTGAGAATGGATTTCTACTGTACACTGTTCTTCAGCAAAAAATAATTTTTTTTTTGTTGCCATTTATTTTGAAGTAAAATGAACTTCTCAGCACAACAGAGGTTGAAGATGCTAACTTCTATAGTAGAAAATTGCAGAAGTGTTAGTAGAAATACTGTATGGCAATATTCTCAATACCACTCATAGAGACTGAACAAAGTTTGAATAATTCCACGAGTCTGTAAATGGTTCTTAACTTTCAGTTAGCAAAGGTGAGGATACACAGCTTTTCCCTCCATCACTCTGTGTAGTGTAAATATAAATGTTGATTTCTGTTTGTTGTCAAGTCAAAATTTTTAAAAAATAAGTTTTTCAATTAATCAATTTCTCAGTCTTCAGTCCTTTATTGGTGCATGTTTGGTCCATGAGTCAATATTGCAGAAAGAGACTTTTTGTGCATCATAAGGGCCAAATTCCACTGTTGCTCATGTGTGTGTGTTCGTGTCCTCTCAGTCATCTGTCCTGCATCCTTTACTGCAACTCGTTCCTCAGCTTAATGAGAGAAGACTGAAGAGATACAAACTGGACGTATGTAAACTGAAACTCTGCATGCTTATGTTCTTACACTTTGTGATTCATTACCTGTTCTGAAAATGCCCTTGTAGACCTTTCTGCTTATATATTTTGGCTGGTCTACCCAAATCTTGATGTCACAGAATGTGCTTCAGGAAGGGTTATCTTGCTGTTGTCTTTTTTCTTCCTCATATTGGGAAGAACAACAGAAGCTGCTGTACATAAACACATCCACCTCTCTCCCTGGCTAGATAAGGAATTGAAAAGGTGGATGAGTGAAGGAGGAAACATGCTCTATTAAATTCATTATTTCTCCCCAATTTGAAACAGCACCAGATTTTTTCATGGCTTTGATTCCTCTTGAGCCACAGCCTGCCTGATAGAATATGATCTAAGAAAGAAGACTCAAGCACTATTTTGGCTAGTCAATATAAGAGACTGAGCAAAAGACCTTCTAGAGGGTGGGGATTCAAATAAAACTCTAAGTAATCATACATCTTCATGGAGACATATTTTTCTGTGTACATATATACATGCAGGTTTGTAAATAAACTTGCATATTTATTACGGAAGATTTTTTTTTTTTTTAACATCTCCAAACCCTTAGAAGTTTAGAAGGCAGGTGTTACAAAAATGACAGATTGTTAGCTTCAGGTGTTTACTAATACCAAACTTCTGACATGAACTCAAACAAGAACATGTAATCTTTAAGGAGGGTCTGCTTGTAAGAGAAAAATGACATTAACATAAATCACAGTTTCTCATTAGTAATTTTACTCTCTCTGTTCTGGATGAATTTCTTAATCTTGCAACAGCTTCCTATTTTGTTCCTGTTTTCATTTTTTTTTACACATTGAATAGAAAAAATAGAAAATATTACATATGAATACCATAAGACTCAAATGGCAATGTACAGAAAAATTTTTACCCTTTTGAAATATAAAAAATTATAGTAGTGATCAGATTATAAATCCAAGATGGGTGTTTCAAATGCAGATAATGCTAGAATGACAATAGAAATAAAAATCATACAGATGTTTTATGTACAATGCTATATGCAATGAATTGAAGTCAGAATTAGAATTAAGACTCAAAAATTATGTATAGTTTAAACTCTACTTCCTTTGAAAGCTTCCCTGGATTGAATCTACTTCTGTAGCTTGGAAATGATGGGAGTCATCCTGTTTTACACAATTCTCACAGCATTAGCAGAGAGCAGGTGTGATTCCTTTCTATGACACTTCACCTTATGATCACTTCACCAAGAGATCACAGCAACCCAGTTTTTAGTTGGGAAATACCCCCATTGCTAGATAAAAGCCATCTTCATTTTAATGTTCTGGTAAGCATAACACTAAAACTATTTTGTTTCTCAAGTGTACTGTCTCCCCACCTGCAGGGCAGACACATCACTTCTCTCTGGTGCCAACAGAAGCAAATAAAACACTGCGATTAAGCTTAAGATTCTCTAATCATGAAGGTCTCATTAAAGCAACTGGATACTTCATGCTTTGTACTTCTTGCATTTAAATAGAATTTCTATTGTCTTCATCATTTGTTAGCCTCCTTGCTATGTGGATCAGCAGGCAGCTGTTTCACCCTGTGTGCAGTGTGGACAGGATAGACTATCACAAGTACTGCTCTTTGGGACTTAATGTGAGAGAGGTTGTTACGGCACATCTTTGGGAACAGTCTGGAGTTCATTCCTGGGAGAAGCCCAAGCATTTCTGATATTTAAACTTTGCATTTAAACTTTGCATTTCTGATATTTAAACTTTGTATTTTTGTCCTCCTGCAAGATGCAGACAGTAACTCTCTCTGTAGAGACCACTGTCATGAAGGCAGTCTTGTTGTGCCTGGGGAGTGAGCCCTGGAAAGTCAGAGGCAAAGGCTGTTCCTCATTTCTAGTGCCATTCAGAAGCAATCTGAGCTGATCTAAAACTTCAGGTGGAATTTGTTCCACCTGAACATTCATATGTTCTCTTCAATTTCTACATGACAACATAAACTTTGTGTTACTGACATGGGGAAATGCACATAAAGCATTTAGGGAGTAAGACCTTAAGTAGTACTGAAGAAATATTTTTTATATATACATAAACAACCTCTCAGTATGTATTAATTTACAGCTGTAGATGTAATTTAAAATACTTTTTTCTTCAGGAAGAACTTCAAGGACCTGGAGTGATTCAAAGCAGGGGCTACTTTTTCTACAGGGTATGGTTTGTTTAATTTTTTTTCCTTTTTTTTTTTGTGGTGAGAGTTAAAAAATAAAAAAAAAGTAGAGCAATAACTGAATTACAGGAAGATTTACTGTGATTAAGGATACTTTTTTCAGTTAGACCATTCCACCCTACAAGACATCTCCAGGTCTGCTCCTGACATTTTCTTATATTAAAATAAAGGCATTGCAGGAATTTTAAAAAAATCATATTCCTAGGTTTGTGTATACATGAGACCATTCTGTGCCTTAAAAAGTCATTGGTTATTTTGTATCTATTTGTCAGAGAAAGTTCTAGAAAATATGGCATCTTGGAAAATCTTCGTAAAGCATTGTTCAGCAGGGTATGTTTGCACATGATATAAATGATATAATGATATAAATGATATAAATATGATTCCACCCTTACACATTATGCTAGGTCTGACCTTGCCATTTTCCTTCTGTTTTGACCAGTAAGGTAAGAAACTAGATACAGAAATTCTCATGAGACTGAGTTCATCATGAGAACATCTACTGTGTTCATCTTTTACCCCATAGAGCCTTTTTACTTCACTTTAGCAAAATTGAGAAGGTGGCAATCAGACTTTCTGGCATTTCTGCTTAAATAAGAAAGTGGCTGATAACTTTAAATAAAAATGTGGCTAGGATTGTACTCAATGATTCTAAAGGCCTTTTTGCAAACTAAATTATTCTATAATTCAAATGAAAAGACCAGAGATTTGTATGGTTATATTTCTTATGTATCAGGCTTGGATTCTTAGAGTTGTTATGACTCGCCAAATTTATGGGTAATATTAATATTGGTGCATTCATGCTTCCAGAGTAAAAGGTAAATCCATATTAAGCCCAGGAAGAAATTTTTATCAGATTTAGTAGAAGTTGTATCAAGTCCCTCACTAGTACAAAATATTTCTGAAAAACACTACAGTGAAAAGAGAAAAAGTCCTTGCCTATATCAAAGAATACAGTCTAAAAAGAAAATCATTGAGAGTGACATGTATTTGTTGGTTAATAGCAACAGGCACTTATAATGAAATAATTACAACAATCAGAAAACACATTTCAAGAAAATGCAAAAAGAATAAGGATTAAGATCTCTTGAAGTGACTTCTTATGGCTTTCTCCCCCTTATAAACTCATACAAGATAGAAAATTCATTCCTCAATTGATATGCAGCAAATTTTAGTGTGTAATTCTCCGACCGAGGAAGATACAGATTAAACAATAACTTATCTTAGGTCTATCTTTGACAATAATCACAATGACACTGCTGAGAAATTCACTAATTTCTATACACACCAAGTTGTCAGGGGTTTTGTTACTTAATTCTGTCAGTTTTACAGAATATATAACTTACTAAATATTTGTCTTTCAGCCACGTAATGGAAGGAGATCAGTGGGTTTTCGCTAAGGAGGTATTTATTTAATGCTTTTGATCATGATCTACATGTAAATTAGTTCATTTTTATCCAAATAGACCACAATATTTTTGTTGAGAAGTTGTCTCAGAAAGACTTTAACTGTGTAATTGGCTTAGATTTCCACCCACAAACTTTTCCCAGATGTTAAATACACTTAGATGTGTTAATTACACTTCAGATGAATTGAACAAAAGCTGTAGGTATTCAGTTCCCAGAACAGAGAGCACAGATGTGTTTCAGGCAGCAAGAAATGGAAAATATCCCACATTTGTAAACAATTTGGAAAGTACTGATGATGACAAGTTCCTTCCTAAGAAGAACTTACCTGTCAAAAGAATGCTGAGAAGTAAACTGACATCCTGAAGGTAACTCCCTAATCTTGAAAAGATAAAAAACTCACACTGAAATGGAGTGCAAACTTCAGGATTTAATTTCAATGCCTGCAACTATCTGGAGAGATGTAAAAATGTAGACCAATACTATGTATTTTCTAATGTATTTTATTCTGCCATCATTTTTAAGTGTTATATCAACTTAGAGTTATACCAACAGCTAATGCTCTATCTTATTTTTCAGGATTATAGATTCCTGACTTAGAACTAAAACTGCAGGAATGCTGAGTACATGGACATACTGTTTTCCTTACAATAATTATTCATTATTAATGTACAATTAGAAATCACTCGAATGTAAATATTCTTAAGCCAGAATCTGTTAAGAAGGTCTTTACTATCTTGATTATATTAAAAGCATATTAAAAGTATTTGTTTCCTAGTGTTATGATGTTCACAACCTCATGTAATTCAACTGTAAAGAGTCACTGTTTGCACACAACAGACATTGCCTCTAACAACCCTGTTAAGCAAATTTTCCCTTCTAAATAAAGACCCTCAGCCAGACAGTTGTTTTAATGAGAATGTTTGCAATCAAGACTCCTGTGTTTTTTCCAGAATATGTTGTGATTTGTGTGTTTCACCATCTCAAAAAAAAAAAAAAAAAAAAAAGAGAATTCTTTTCCCTTAATAAAAGGAACCTGAACAAGTTGCACGTTTTGAAGAAATATTGTGACTTTAATTCAACTAAAATATAATGGCATTCTTTTTTAGCTATTAAGAACACAGATGCATGATGGTTCTCGTTTGGAAGAAGACTTAATTGCAAATGGGGTCACAATTCACTTGAAAACTCAAGTGCTTTTGATGGAGACTGAAAGAAACTCTACTCAGAAGCACAAGTTACCCCTTACAATCTTCCCAGCTCTTCTCTCCGAGTTTATTTTCACACCAAAATTGTGTTAAATTATGTTGTTGAGGTTGTAATTATATTGAAAGTAACTAATCACTCACAAGGAGATGATCTTTAAGTCCCTTCCAATCCAAACCATTCTGTGCTTCTGTGACTCAATTTAGAAGTGGGCCAAAATTTTTAACATTATATTGACTGGTCATGGTTTGAATTGGCCTCAGCATTACTGCTCCTGCTTCTGCACTTTTGGATGAGCAATAAAACTTCAGAAGGTAGTTGGAAAAATTACGGCCTCGGAGGAAGCCAAATTGAGAAGATCTTTTCCTCTTCTTTCCCACCTGTTTTTGCTCTGCACTTTAATAATTTACTCTTCCTATAACAAAATTTGTTCAATATTCATGGTTTAATTTTAATGATTTTCACTTAGTTATTTTGAAAAAGATCCCGAATTAAACATTCAATGCAGATAGTGACAAGTGGTATGACATCTAACATGTACAGATAATTAACTTACAGAATTTCATAAAGAAGCCAGTCAGTGTAAGGAAGATTACCATTCTGAATTATTAGTAGCAATCCACCCCTGTATTTCTGTATTTTCCTGTATAGTTATAACTAAATAAAGTCCTTTTCCCCCTCTCTCTCTTACCCAGAGTTATGACAAATTTAACTAATTTCTGAAATAAATACATATTTTTCTTTCATTAGTTCTACATTACATCTGCTTATTACTTTTCATGCATTTAAAATGTTTGGTGACTCTGGAGAACAAAAGGTGAACTTCTTTTGTTTGTTTGGTTGGTTGGTTTGGGTTTTTTGTGTTTCTAGTGAAACCATATGAATGAATGAATCTTGAAGAATTAAAGGAAGCTGAAGCTGGCTTTAATGAGACTGATAGCAAAGCTATTGATATGTACAGGTGTGGTGAGAGATATCCATCCAGATTAGCAGTGCACCTGTCACTACTGTACATGCTGTAAAAAATAAACTCAGAATCTGTTGAATAGTAATGTCTGCTGACTCACACAACTGCCTTTTTCTACTTTTTACTCTTTTGACATCAGATAGAACTCCTGATTGCTGTCCTACCTCCTGATTGCAGTGGCACAGAGAAACAGTTTACACCATATTTGGTTTTGATGTTCTCTTAGGGCAAAACTATTTCCTCTGAAAGCTAGATATTTAAAAGACACTGCTGAACAGGCCACAGTGGAAACCACTGTTACACATCCTCACTTGAGCTGAAGATGCACTGGGCCATGGTGTGTTTGGAAGTGTGCTGTGTTTGAAGTGTTGCAGTCTCAACATTTGTCCCAGTTACACGAGTAGAGCTCATTCCCTTTCTGCCTGATTAAAGGGTACTCGCACTCTGCCACACCAAAGACGACTCTGCACACTAAAGACACTTTCTGCTAGTCTTCAGACTGTGCAATGATGGCAAATGTTCAAATAAAGAAGTTCTGAATCCCATTTTCTATCTCCTGTTTTGGATAGAGTTTTCTGTGCATTTCAAGCGAGAAAGAATGGGCAATTGGTTGTGGGTATCCCTTTTCTCTCGTGTGTACAAGAAAAATAGGAAAAAAAAATTTGTGGCTCCAATTTTGTGATAGATAATGTTTTGCATATGGGGTACTTGCCACCTATATGAGGATGGCATGCCATTAAAGAAGAAAACTGTATTTTAGGGCTGGAATCAAACAGTTCAGAGTTTTTAATTGATTAAGTAATTAATTTGACTATTATGAGCAGAATATATTTCTTCTTCTAGCATAGCACTCATTTCCAGTACAATATAGTTTCTAAATATATTACTGTAATAAAAACACAATTTATTATGAATTACTATAATAATTACTATAGTTTAACTATATCCTACATTAAAATTTTTGTAGTGGTGGTAGCTGCAGAACCACAGCATCACAGAACGGGTCAGGCTGGGTGAGAAAACAGTGGGTCACAGGTCCAACACCCCTGCTCCAGCAGGGTCATTCCAGAGTACATGGCACAGGATGGCATCCAGCCAGTTCTTGACTGTCTCCAGTGAGGGAGAGTTCACAACCTCTCTGGGCAACATGTAGCAGGGCACAGCCAGCCACAGAGTAAAGAAGCTCTTCCTCATATTCCAGTGGAACTTCCTGCACATCAGTTTCTGCCCATTGTATCTTCTGCTATTGCTTGGCACCCCTGACAAGAATTTGGCTTGGCTCCATCCTCTGACACCCTCCCTGCAAATACTTACAGACTTTGACGAGGTCCTGTCAACAGGTCCCCTCTCAGTTTTCTCTTCTTGAGGCTGAACAGGCCCATTCCCTCAGTTTTTCCTTATAAGAGAGATGCTCCAGACAATAAACTCGTGTGGTTTTAAAAGCCAGCAATGGATCCCTAATAAACAGCTATTGTGTTTGGTTTGCAGGTCCCCTCTCAGTTTTCTCTTCTTGAGGCTGAACAGGCCCATTCCCTCAGTTTTTCCTTATAAGAGAGATGCTCCAGACAATAAACTTGTGTGGTTTTAAAAGCCAGCAATGGATCCCTAATAAACAGCTATTGCATTTGGTTTGCCTCTTATTCAAAGTAGATTTCAATGACTTTTCTATTTTTTACCTCAGGAAAATGTTCATTTGAAGTTTACATTGAAGGAAGGCACAGGGGAGACCAAATCAAGTCTATAACTACCTGAATGGAGAGTATAAAGCAAACAGAGCCAAGGTGTTTCCAGTGGTGCCTGTGACAGGACCAGAGGATGTGGGCACAAACTGAAATGCTGGAGTTCCTTCAGAATACCAGAGAACACTTTTTTACTGTGAGGGAGAACAACTGAAATGTTGCACAGTCTTCTCCCTTGGTGTTGTTCAGAAGCTGTCTGGAGATGGCTCTGGACAGCCTGCCCAAGGTTGATGCTACTTGAGCTGGAGGGTTGAATCAGGTGACCTCTCCTCCAAGCCCAGCCAGGCTACAATTCTGGAAACCTGTGACACACAGCACACTGTTCTTAGGCACAACTGGGGCACAATCAACCTTATTCAACTATTTAAGAGGACTACACCAATCATTTTACTTACAGTGCCATACAGAGTCAATGTGCTTATGAATTTGGGTTCAGAAAACTTTGGCACCTTGTATCCACTTCAGCAATTGTTGCTTTACCCGACATTCACATGCAGATTTTTGTACATAATTTACAAGTTACTCTGCTGAGTTCTGCCCAGCATTGTATTGTAACTAATAAAAATGAGGCATGAAGTTTACAAAATATAAAGAAGCTAATGTGATCAGAACATTTTCTCTATCTAGATTCTACCTGTACTTACTGCTGTGGAATTGTTGAAATGACTAAAATAATTACAGGACTAACACAGTGTATCTAGTAATGTACTCTCAGAGAAAGAAAATAATTCACATAAATATGTGGAAATTGTGAACCAAAACTATGATGTACTGTTGCTAGAGTATAATAGCATTGCACATTTATTAATTTTTTAAATTTTCTTTTTGTGAAAAGCAATTCCACAGTGGCTTTCAGTTAATTAATAGCTGCTTTTAGTTCATCAAGTTTCAGTAAAACATTTTCCTTTTCTACCTTGCAAGTATTTTTATAGACGAAGACTGCCATCTACTGATTTTATATTTCAGTTTTCATTAATTATTTTAAAACTGTCTGGTAAATACTAGTATAAGTACTGTAATTCCTCCTTAAACTAGCCTCATGTTCAGAATCACACAAATATTTAGTACCTGCTCTAATTTTTTCTTGCTTCATCTCAAATTATAATTATAAATGCTTGTACAATTTGTTTGTTACTCAAGTTTCCCAAATCTGATATTGATGAATTAAGAAAATTAATTTTAATGTTACATTATTGAATAAAGATTGGCATAGATACCTTTCTATCTCTAAAATTTTAAGACTACCAGCTCAAGAGTTACTTAAATAATTTAAGTAATTGAGATGCACTAGATATTCTTTTAAAATGCATTAAAAACATTCAAAAGATGCTTGCTATTATTTTTATTTTCTAATTAGGCAGTAGCACTTGCAGGAATGGAAATGTCTTCAGAGGAGGCAAAAGTATGTGAAGCTAAGAGAAAGTTGTGGAAAGCACTATGCAAAAGAAGCATATAAATGCTCCAGAGGATGTTTAGGTTATAATTAATCTTTATTGGTCAAACATTCTTGCATAAGATGTAGAATATTTCAATACAAAGAATTGAACTGGTAATTAAAAAAAAATCTAGAAAAATTAAAAATAAGAGACTAATGAGATAGCAATTTTTTGGAAGCAATGGAATCATAGAGCATCTGACCTACTCGATTTGTTAATTCACTTTGTGAGAGTCAATTGTTCACTTTTGTTCAAACACATGAAAGACTTATTTTGCTGCGCATGCTTATCACCATGTGTGCAACCTTACTGAGATCTCTGGGTTTCACTAAGAAAGTGGTGTCCACTCTTTGCAGGTTCTTTTCTCAGCAGGAGTGGTCTAACAGGATTATTCTACCTTTATTTCCCCTTTGACTTGAACAAATCAAAAGCCTCTCAGGAAAAGTCTCAGTTATGCAAACTGAGGAAATCTTGTTGGTTTATCGACTGCCCAGTAAATTCTCTAATGGTAGCAGAAGTTGTGACAGGATGCAGCAGAAATGGCAAAGGACTCCCATGATTAGTTCTGTGTATGTTAGCAGTTCTATTACATGTTTTTGAAAAGCACTGAGAACTAGTACAGAATGTTTAATCATTATTTAGATTCAGACAAGTTTCCTCTTTTCCTTCTTTTCAGGTTTTTTTGGGAGGGAGTTTATTCTCAATTGTCAGGAATCAAACATTTTTTTCCAGAAGCAAAAGGAATAGGACAACCAAATGAAATTGTTAGAATTACAGTAATTTAAATTTCAAAATCGGAAGAGAGAAAAGAGTAGCCTTTCTTGATTTTCATTTGATTTGTATAATGGAGAACCAATTCTGCATTTTACCATTGCATAGATAAGGACCTGAGGAAACTTGTAATCCCTTAGGAATGAGTATGTGTATCCCCAAAATCTCTCATCATTACTAACAAAACTGGCTCACCTGCCTTTGACCTCCAGGGTCCACAGGCCACATCAGCTGATTTAACTTCAGTCAGACACAAAAGATCCTAATTGCTCAAAAGGCTGCAGGGGAACAAGAGAAATTCTGTTCGTTTTGGTGTTTTCTGTGTCTGTGTTTCTTCCTCCATTGGTTTGATTTTGGGGTTTATATAGATTGTATTTTAAATCGTAACTATGAAAATAATGAACATGGTAAGGCATGGTAAAAATAAAAATATACTAAAGTTTCCCTGATGTTACTTAAGGAGTGGAGAAGTATTTAGTGTTAAACTAAGATCTAGTTTAAATAAAGTAAAATGTATGTTACAGATTCAAAACTGTCATTTAAACTCTACAATGGACAAAATCAGTTTTAAAAACTTAGTGAGGAATGAAACTGAGGCACAGTGCTTGAAGTGTCTGGTAACTTTACTAACATATTCTGTTTACTGTACTGCCACATATTTTTTAATTCAACAGCTCTTTAAATCACAATGATCTAGGAAGAAGCTAAATAAAATTTGTCCTGCAATTCTTATAACACATTAAAGCAGAAGCAGACTATAGGAAAAGGTACTTGTGTTCTTCAAATGCTTTAATAACTTCAGTTATTTTACAAATAATTTACACTAGAAGTGTCATTATATTTCCTTATTCTTTTCTAGTATCCCAGTGTGTTTACTGGTTAATGATCACCTCAACTTGCTGGCCTGAAAGTTTCCAGAAGGCAAGTTTCTCAAAGCCATTGTAAACTCCTGCATTCAGAATTCCAAGGACAGGTGTTTACCCACAATACTTGTATATAAACTGGTGAAATACAAGCAGGTTCATTGGGATAGCTAAATGTGTGGGAAGATATCTGAAAGCACTAAGAATGTTTCTAAATAATTCACGTTATGAAAAATTCTATGTTGTTTGTAATCATTAGATCTCAAGACCAC